ATGATGCAAAATTTTATCTCTTTCAATTGATATTATTTAAAAGTTATATCAAAATTATAATCTTTCAAATATAATACGAGTCTTTCTTCTTTGTTTTTTTTTTCCTCCTTCTAATGAAAAATGACCTAATTAACTCGAGGTAAAATACTAAAATAACTTAGCTCAAGAGATGAAAATCCAGATATTCCAAAAGATATATATTCCTTTCTTAATTAGCTTTTAGATTTTTGTAGAGAACATTTTCAATTTTAGCATTAGGATATTAAAACTCTCCAACTTTATATTCGAATTGCATCATTTACCAGTAATTAAAAAAAGAAAAGAAAAAAAAAAAGAACTCAACAAAAAGTAATGTTGAAGCCATGCCAAACTTACGTCGCCTACTCTTAAATTTATTTTATTTACTAATGAAACCGCACAGTAGATTGTCAAAAAAACACAAACAAAAAAATTTATTTTGTGAAGGATCAAATAAGAAAGGGTGTAATTTATCCTATTTATAGTTACTTCTTACTCCATAAGAGTATCTAGTTTAATTAGTAGTTAATGCCCTTTAACAATATCAACAACAGAGAATTTTGTCACGGCTTGTGGGTGCTGAAGCATTTTAATAACATGTACAACGTATTCCAGGCATAGTCCCGCTAGTATCCATAGATGTAAGTATCCATAGGTGTATCAAATCACCATTCTTTCAATTTTCTGAAATCAGGCAACTGGGGAAGCTAAAACTTCAAGAACGAAGACGGGAGTGGGTCTAAGCATCAATTTAGATGCTGCAAGGCAAGTTAATGGTTCATACGTCATAGGCTGTTTGTTCACTGGTTGGATCCTTCTAAGTACCGTGCTTCAGTTTTCCGGAGCAAATCATCAATCCTATAAACAAAAGATTTTTGGAATCAAAAATAGAAAGAGAAGATGATAATTATAATACAAAATCCACCAGCACTAGTCCTTGAAGAAAACCTAATCCCTCCACCTTGAAATGGAAGGTGAAAATCTAGATGTAACTTTTTTCCTCATCTTTTGGGGGGAGAAAATATGCATCCTTCAACTTTTTCCCATCAGTGTGGTGGTTATAGAGATAGATAAGAGTAAAAACCTGGATTCAGGACACCAATTCCCAGTGTTCAAATATCTAGGAAGTAGAGAGTTTAGCATTTTCTGCAAAAAAGCAAATAAAAAGAAAAAATATATTGTACATATACAGAGAGAAAACATAAAAGTAAACATCTTATTAGCTTTCTTTCCAATAAGATTTTGTTACAGCCAAAGATTGCTTTACCTTTCAAAATTCTGAGAACTCGACAGCAATGCAGTTATTCAAGATACACTTGAATCCTGTCACCTATTGTATCATTAAAATCCAACAGAATCTTTCCTCCTACTTCATCGGCTGCATCATCTAACAATGCTTTAATGTTTACACCCCCCAAAGCTGCAGATGTAGATAGAG